CCCCCCCCCCCCCCCCCCCCCCCCCCCCCCGTGGCCTGGGGGCCCAGAGGGCTCACTCACCCACAGAGTACTGGCTCCTGTGCAGGAAGACGTCATGCTCTGCCGCGTGCAGCAGCTTCTCCACCACGTGCCCCGGCACCTTCTTGTCATGGACGCACAGTGCCAGAATGGCCAGGCTGTACTGGTAATAGCTGGTGAGAGGGTGGCCCTTGTGCTCGTGTCCTGGAGGAAAGGCCCCCACGGGCGGTCATGGCTGCACCCTCCACCCCAGTGAATCCCACCTAGGCTTCCTTGGCACTGCCAGTGAATCAGGTCAGGCCTGGGGGATGGCTGTGAAATTCTTGTGGGTTTTTTTTTTCATATATCAAATTTGGGGAGTATTATCTTCAAAGAAAGGCAGTATGGGGTAGTGGCCAGAGAATCCACCTCAAAGCCAGGAAGGTCTGGGTTTGAATTCAGCCTCTGACATATATGGGCCATGTGACCCTGGGCCAGTCACTTAACTTTTCAATGCTCCTCAACACCTCTTAAGAGCTGTAAGTTGCCCATCTGTTTGAGTGGAGAGAGTTCTTATACTGATGAAATTATAAATCTGGAAGTGTTATCCCCTCTTCCAGTAATTATTTTTAATAATTGTATTTATTTTGCTTTTTGGTGAGGCAACCAGGGTTAAGTGACTTGCCCAGGGTCACACAGCTAGTGAGTGTTATGTGTCTGAGGCTGGATTTGAACTCAGGTCTTCCTGACTCCAAGGCTGGTGCTCTCTCCACTGTGCCACCCTTTAATAATTGTTTTTGATTGTTGTTAATAATACTACTACTAATAATAATAAATGACGTTCTGTGATCTCATTTGGGGTTTTCTTGTCAGAGATACTGGACTGGTTTGCCACCTCCTTCTCCAGCCCATTTTACAGATGAGAAACTGAGGCAGACAGGTGCCCAGAGTCACACAACTAGGAAGTGTCTGAGGCCAGATTTCCTACAGGAAGCCCTCTCTCATTTTCCCTGGCAACCACAACTGTCTCCCCACAAAATTACCTTGTGTATAATTTGTATCATTTGCTAGCTACATAGTGTCTACCCTGAGAGAACATAAGCTCCCCGCGGGCAGGGACTGTTTACTTTTGCCTTTGTATCCCCTGCCAGCACCTGACCCATAGGAGATGTCAAATAAATGCTTATTGGTTGAGGGATTACATTCATCTCTGTAGCCCCGCCCAGTAGAATATAAGCTCCCTGAGGGCAGGGACTGAATGATTTTGCATCATGGGGTCTTGCACACACATGCTCCCCAACCTCTCTATTTCAGGCAGCTGTGATTTCCTTGACGTGGGAGCCCCTGGACCCGGCCAGATCAAGAGTCTCCTGGAGCACAGCAGGCGGGCTTTGGGAGTACCTTTGACTTTCGCTCGGCCTTCCTGGGACCACAGCCACACAGACCACTGTGAGGCCTGGAGCAGGAGCCAGAGGTTTCACCCTCCTTCCAGAGCCCAGGCCCTCCCCCTCTCCACCACCAGGCACAAGGGGCTTTAGCACAGAGTAGGCAGCTCACGGCCGGCGTACGCTGCGTGGAGTTTCTCATGGCTCTGATTCTCTATTCCAGCAGGTACGCATCCTCCCGGCTGCCCAGCCCACTCACCTATACGATGCTTCTCTTCCTCCAGGTAATGCTTGAGTTGAGTGACCAGCACGTTTCCTTTCCGGGTGCCAATATCCTTACAGCCGCTCCGCATGGCCAGCAGGTACAAGGCCAGCTGGCCCATGGAAGGCTCGTGTTGGTGATCTGCTGCAAGGCTAGGACAAAGGCAACGTTCAGACTGGCTCCCAGGTGCACCCTTCTTCCTTGTTCCTTCCCACTCCCCAAGGGAAGGGGACAGTAATCACAGAACTAGGGATAGAGGGCTGGGAGGGACGTTAGCGGTCATCAGAGCCAACCACCTCATTTTATGGAGGAGGAAACTGGAGCCAGGAGAATTCTAGTGACTTGTCCAACCTCCTACTGGTACCCCGGGGCAGAGCTAGGATTCGAACCCAGGGCCTGTCACTCTTCCCATGTGGCCTCATACTTCTCGGTGTCCATGGCATGTCCCCTCTCTCCCCCATTAGACTATAATCTCCACGAGGGCAGGGCCTCTTTGTATCATTAGCATCTAGCTTAGTGCCTTGCACTTATGGGCTGGACGTGTGATCTCATTGGTGGGAATTCCCAGGTAAGGAAACCCTCTCCACCTTCTCTGAAATGGTTTCAGAGAATTGCCTGGGGGAGATTGAGGGTGTGCTGAGGGTCACCCCAGTAGGGGCAGGGGAAACCCCTCCAGGCCAGACACTTTCACCTTTATCTCCTAGGCCCCCCCACCCCCGCCCATCACAGATAATTACTAACTGTTGGTGTAATTGAAATGAACTGTGACCCCCTCCCGGTTCTAAGCTGGGCCAGGGAGGAAGCCTGTCTTTCCCCAGTCTGCCCAGGATGGATCGGGCGAGGGAGGGGAGGGGCAGCCGTACTTAATGAAAGCCAGCTGGTAGTGGACCATGAGGCTGTTGAGATAGAGGTCGTCCTGGTCGCGGCTTGGCTGGTTGGAGAGACGCAGCCCCACGTAGATGCTGGGGTTCAGCTCCGAAGGGGATCTCCGCTCCATCCATTCCAGGAGCTGCCGGGTGACGCTCCCCACCAGGTTGCTACTTGCAGGAGAGATTTCTGAAGGAGAGGAAGAGATGTGAGCCAAGACCACCTTGGGCAAGTTCCTTCAGCTCCCAAGTGCCCCCGTTAATGGCCTCTGAGGTCCCCTCCAGCTCTATGATCCTATCTCTTCGGGGAGGACCTTCCCCTCTCTGGGCCTCAGTTTCCCTATCTGTAGAACAGAGTGGTTGGATTACACGCCTCCACCCCAAGGTTCCTTCTCGCCCTAGCTCTATGAGTTAAGAGCAATCCCTTTCTGGCCCTTATTCAAGGCCCAGCTGGGAAGCTACTTCCTCCCAGAAGCCTCCCCAGATCCTTCAGCCGTCAGAGTGCTTTGTTCCTCCTCTGTCTCTGGCTGTCTGTATGCTCTGGACCACTCCTGCAAACATGCCATGCCCTCGTGGGACCACAAGTCCTTAGTGCAGGCAGGAGTCCAGAAGCCACAAATTCCAAGCCATGTCCGGACGAGGGTTCCCTCTTCTAAACTTCTCTGTTTGGCCAGCCCCTGAGGTCAGAACCAGGAGCTGCGGGGGAAAATGGCCAACAGGACAACTGAGGCTTGGGGTCCTGCCAGTGAGAGCTGCCCAGCAGCGGTCGTGAGCTCCCTACCCTGGAAGTCTTCAGTCAGAGGATGGAGGGTGACCAGTTGTGGGGGGATGTTGGAGAGGGATTTCTGTTCTGGTGTGTGTTAGACTGGACTTTGGGAGGGCCCTTCCAGCTCTGGGGTGTGGGGATTCTGTGATCCTGGATGGCTAGACCCCCTAACTTCTGCTTGAGGGGTAACTAATACACGACAATTATTATTGATAAATAAATGTATGCTGAATCACAAAGTAAATGAAAAGAACAAAAAAGAAAGGAAGGAAGGAAGGAAGAAAGGAAGAAAGGAAGAAAGAAATTGGATGCTTTCATTATGATGGCCAAGCTCAGTCCAGGAGAAGATTTGAAAAAATCTTTACAGAGGTGGAGGCCTCTGGATATCGCATGTTTGCTTTTGCTGAAATGTTTTTTCCCCTCTCTTTTTAGCCTGTGCTACAAGGGATGGCTCAGACGTAATCTGAGGGTTGGGGTTCCGGGATGGAATGGATGTGTTCATAAACAAGGTGACATAAAAACAAAAAAAAAGGAATAAAAAATGTAAGGCCAAAAAAGTTTGTTGCGGAATGCAAAGGGTAGCAGAGGTTGGGGGGAGGAGCGGACACCAATAGCCAGTCCACCCTTCCTTCGGGGAGGATGCCAAGCTTGTAGGGCCCAGAAGCCTCAGATTCCTGCTTTGAGGACGCCTCACCTGAGCCAGCTCAGCTCCAGCCTTCACCCACCACAGTTTAAATTCAACTGAGTTTTTTTAAGACCAGCTGAGAAATGGGCAAAGAAGAGAAGGCTTGGTGCAGGGGCGAGCCACTGGCCTGGCAGTCAGAAGACCTTCCTGGGAGACCTTGGGCAAGTCACTCTGAGCCTCAGTTTCCTCATCCCGCAAAATGAGACCACTGCTCTCAAAGCTTGCCTGTTTGAAGGAAAAGTTATCATGGCTGCTGGCGGGTATGGCGGGGTGGGGGAGGCATGAAGGTCACTGTTCCCCTCTCTTGGAGGCAGCGGCAGCCTGAGATGAGCCGGGGGCAGCCTGAGATGAGCCGGGGCAGGAGGCAGCCCCTGACCCTGGTGGAGGACGCCAGGTGAGTCATCCGTCAGGACCTAGCAGACCTCGATCCCTGATAAGATGGGGATATAGCAGCTGAGGATGGCCTGAGAAATCCTGGCAGGGTCCTGGAGGATGAGAACGGCCAACTGGATTATTAACTCTTTCCTCTCTGAGGCTGGGGCAGGCTTTCTTCCTCCTTAGGCTGTTTCCTCTGCAATATAGAAGATTTTAAGGGCCCTCCCTGCCCTGATATTCTCTGTTCTATGGTCCTTCCAAGCTTTGGCACTCCCTGTTCTAAGGCCCCTCTCAGTCCTGACACTCCCTGTTCTAAGGCCCCTTCCAGCTCTGACATCCCCTGTTCTAAGGGCCCTATCAGCCCTGATATTCCCTGCTCTTAAGGCCCCAACGTTGAATCGCGGAGCTGGCAGGGACCCCAGAGGCCATATAGTTCCAATCCCCCTCATTTTACAGATGAGGAAACTGAGGCACAGATTTGGGGAAGTGACTTGCCCAAGGTCAGTGGCAAAGACAGCATTTGAACTCAGGTTCTCTGAGTTGCAGTCTGGAGAATCCGGGTGCTCTCTAATGGGCTCGGGTGATTGGGAGGCTGGAATAAATCGATTTTGTGCTAAGGATCAGCAGCAGCTTCCAACCAGGCTCAGAACACAGAGTGGTCACTCAGGTCAATCCATCCTCCACACGGCTGCTAAAATATTATTTCCAAAGGACAAGACTGGTAGTGTCACTACCTCACTCAGTAAAACTTGTGGGCTCTCTATTGCCTCCGGGATCAAATGCAAATTCATTTGCTTGGCTTTCAAAGCTCTTTCCAGCCTGGCTGCAACCATTTCCCTCCATGAAGTATGCTGCACAAGCAGACTGGCCTTCTTGCTGACAAGCACACTCCAAATTCCATTTCTTGTCTCTGGACCTTTGTACAGGCTGTGCCTTCTACCTGGGATGCCCTCCCTCTTCTTTGCCTCTTAGAATCCCTAGCCTCCTTCACTGCTCAGCTCCAGGGTGTTTCCTGAGGCTCCTAGCTGTGGACATCTTCCTCTTGTTACCTTGAATTTATGGATCCAGCACACATAGTCTCCCCCTCCCAGAGTGTAGGCTCCTTGAGGGCAGGGACTGTCTTGATTTGGTGTCTGCAGCCCCAGCGCCTCACACAGTGCCTGGCTTCCCATACACACTTGCTGATTGGTTGATTCCAGAGGGGACCCTGGTCTCTGCTCCCTAGTGTGGGGCTCAGGGTGGGGGTGTCAGTTCAGGAGATCTGGGTCCAGCCCCTCTCCAGCCTGTGACCTTGGCCAGATCTTTCTGGGGCTCAGTTTCCTTATCAGTAAAATGAAAACAGTGGGACAAGTTGGTTGAAGGCCTGGGATGCTGGGGATGGAGTCCCAGCCCGATGCTGCCAAGATCTCTAGGGACCCTTCTGGCTCGGGCACCCTGGGTACTGTGGACAGAAGACTGGGGCACTCACGGCAGAGCGGGGCAGCCGCTCCCAGGCAGGACAGGAAGACCAGCAACTTCACTGAGGATTCCATGGTCCAGATGCCTAAGGGCTGGCCATCCAGGAGCCGTCTGGAGGAAGGGTTCAGGCCGCCCCAGCCCAGAGCCTGGGTGATCGATGTCCTTTGTCACTGATTAACCTCTCCACCCCTTGGATGGGTCTGGGCTAAGTCAGCAAAAAGAGAGGGAAAAGGTTGAGAGGAAGGAGGAGCCAGAGAGTCAGCGCACAAGCTTTGCTTCTGCTTTTGTCTTTCTGGGGTTTAACACATCAAGCGCCAGGCACACAGTGGGTGCTTACGAAATACTTGCTCATTGATTGCCATATGTTTTTGTATTCCCCAGTGCTTAACACAGTGACTGGCACACAGTAGGTGGTGAATAAATGCTGTCTGGTAGGTCAAGTATCTGTACCCCCAGTGCCTACCACAGTGACTGGCACACAGTAGGTGGTGAATAAATGCTATTTGGTAGGTCAAGTGTCTGTATCCCCAGTGCCTAGCACATAGTAGGTACTGAAAAACGTTTCATGATCAACAGGTCAAGTGTGTCTGAATCCCCAGTGCCACCACAGTGACTGGTACACAGTAGGTGGTGAATAAATGTTTGTGAGTTAAATCCAATTGAGCTCCCAGCTTTTCCTCCACCTCTCCCACCCCCGGGGAAGGCCCTAGTCTTGGGGGAGGTTGGGGAAGGGGGACATAGGGAGGAAGAAAGAAAGGGCGCCTTGTTGTGCTTACAGCTTAGCCCTGGCCAGAGAGGAGGACAGGAGGGGAGTAAAGGGAAAGGAAGAGGAGATCCCAAGCCGTGGGCCCTCCCAGGGCCCGACCAGGAACCAAACTTGTTTTTCCCAGGGTGACACAGACCTTGGCCCTCGGCTTCCTGGAGTCCCCCGGCTGGGGGAGCAGCTTCCTGGTGGCAGACAGGGTGCCCTGGCTCTGCAGCCAGTTAGGGCAATGAGAGAGTTGTGCCCAGTGGACAGCAGGGCAGGGGAGCTGGGTCTTCCTGCCTGGAATGCCTTAGATAAAACAAGTTGGTTCCCGCAAGGCCGGATGGGGGCTGGGGGCCCGCGGGGAGCAGAGGAGAGGGCGGAGCCCCGGCAGGAATGGGCCCCACCTAGGGTCCAGCCAGGTTGCCTGCCTGTCACATGATCGTCATCTGGCCCAGCTGGCCCCAGCTGGTCCCCCGGGGGCAGAGACTTTAGCCTGCGCCTCCTAGAGCTTGGCTAATGACAGTTTCAGGTCCCGGCAGCTGGCCGGCAGGGGTGGGAGGGGGGGACGATCAGAAAAACCTTCATGGAGAAGGTGTCTGGAAAAGCCTTCCAGGATTCCTTGTAGCTCAAAATCCGCCTCTAAGACCTCGGATCAGGCAATGAGAAGGGACTCTACGGAAGCGACCTTAGAGATGATGTACGCATTGTCCTCCTTTCTCCTTTTACAGACAAGGATACCGAGGTTCAGAGCGAAGCAGGCTAGACCAGATCTTTTCACACTCTGATCAGTTTCTTTCCATGACACTCCCGGCAAACCCGGGGGTGCGGGTGGGGTGGCGGAGGTATGCATTTGGGTGCGATTAAAATAGGGAAATTTCCCGTGGCCTTATCCCTGGGCAGAGAGCCAAGGAGATTATTCTGTGGGGGATTCTTTCTGGGCCCCCCCCCCCGACTGCCCTCGCGTCTGGCCGGAGAGGACAGACGGACAAGCACGGGAGAAAAATGAGAGGAATAGATGAGGCAGCTCTGGAGCCCCGTTAGTCCCCAGGGGAGGCCGTCCCTCGCCAGCTCTGGCTGGTGTGACCACCCTTAATGTCTCGTTCCCGGAGTAGCAGGAAGAGCTCCTCCTTCCCCTCCGCCAACCCGGGTGCCTGTCTCAGTAGTTTTCACCGCTCCCACTGTCTTTTATGAGGATGAAGAAACACAATTCTTAAGCCGGACAGGATGTTAAAGGTCGCCTCGTTCAGGTTCTTGATCTTTTTGGGAGGTTTGGTGAAGCTCATCTCAGGATAAGGTTTTTATTTTATTTTATTTTTTTAATTTTTAGGCAATTGGGGTTAAGTGACTTGCCCAGGGTCGCACAGCCAGCAAGTGTCAAGTGTTTGGTCTGAGGCCGGATTTGAACTCAGGTCCTCCTGACTCCAGGGCTGGTGCTCTATCCACTGTGCCACCTAACTCCCCTGCTCTGAGCCTGTTTCTGGCCATTTGTGATTGAAGGGCTGCTACTTTGTAAGGAAGGGAAAATCTTCTAACTGACTTTGTTGTTCAGTCGTGTCTGACTCTCTGTGACCCTGTGGACCACACTGTCCAGGAGGTTTTCTTGGCAAAGATACAGCAGTGGTTTGCCTTTCCTTCTCCAACTGACTTTGGGGTCACTTGGCTGGAGCTGAGTAGGTATTTAAAGGGGGCAGGGACCCAGAAAGCCACGAGGGAGAGGCAGCAAGGAGTCCAGTTTGGCTGGAGCAGAGAGACAGGAGGGCGAGTTCCGAATGTGCCGAGACAGATTGGGACCAGACCTTGAGAGGCTTTCAGCTCCAGAGGCGCTGGAGATAGGGAGCCATGGAAGTCTCTTGAGAAGGTAGTTTCAGCAGTCTGTGTGAAAGGTGCTAATAGGCCAAAGGGGGTGGCGACCACAATGAGAGTGGAGAGAAGGGACTGGATTTAAGAGATGTTGGAGACAGAAACAAGGCAGCACCTGGCGGAACATGGGGGAGGGGGGTGAGTGAGGGCGAGTAGCTGAAGATGGTTCTGAAGCTGGGAACCTGAGGCACTGCCTGGAAGGATGGCGGTCTCCACAACAGAAACGGGAAAGGTAGGAAGAGCGGGGGGAGGGGGGAGTGTTCTCAAAGAAAAGATTACAAGTTCTGATTTGTACGAATTGAGTTTGAGATGCCTCTGAGAAATCCAGCTGGAGATGTCTCCCGGGGACTTTGTGCTATGGAGAGAGCTCGGAAGAAGAGTCAAGGAAGGAAGAAAAGAAGCATTTATGAAGTACCTACTGTGTGCCAGACTGTTAAGCATTTTACAAATATTAGTTCATTTGATCTTCACAACACCTCTGGGGCTAGGTGCTATTATTATCCCCATTTTACAGTTAAGGAAACTGTCATCAGCAGAGGTTAAGTGACTCTCCCAGGGTCAAGGAAGTGTCTGAGGCTGGTTCTGAACTCAGATCTTCCTGGTTCCAGGCCTCTATCCACTGTAGATTTCCCAATACTCTGCACAGAGATGATCACTGAGCCCATCTACACTCATCTCTCCTCACCTCTACTGCAGAATTGCTTCTCTCTGCCTCATGTATTTCCCCACCCCAATCCATTCTCCGCTCAAGGTGGGTTTTTCTAAAGCACACGTCTCACCACATCACTCCTTTACTCAATAAATTCCAGTGGCTCCTCATTACTTCCAGGATCAAATGTCAGGTCTTATGTTTGGCATTGAAAGCTCTTCACAGTCTGGCCTCTTCCACCCTTGCCAGCTGATCTGTCTACACTGGCTTCCTTGTCTTTGCATGTAAGCGGAGATTTGGTAGACAGCACTGCATTTACTCATCTGGGCCAGAACATCCGCAAATATCAAGCTTGGTTTGACAGAAATGATGGGGAAATTCAGAAGCTACTAAATGAAAAACAAGGCTTTACCAGCAGGATGGTTCACCCATCTCTAAGAAGGCAGCATTTAACTCCGTCAATAGTAACGTGCAAGTGAAGCTTAGACAGATACAGGATTCTTGGCTCAGTGAGAAGGCAGATGAAATTCAGTTTTATGCTGATGGTAACAATTCAAGGTACTTTTATGATGCCCTGAAGGCTATTTATGGGCCAAAGACCTTTGGTGCATCTCAACTATTCATGCTGATGGTGCCACATTGATTAGTGATGAGAACATGATCCTGGAGAGAGGGGCTGAACACTTCCATAATGTTTTCAACAGACCGTCATCAATCAATGATGAAGCCATTGACCGTTTGCCTCACTCAGGTTGAAGTCAATTCCTCTCTAGCCAGACTTCCAACCGAAAAAGAGGTTTTGAATGCCATTAGGTCCCTCTCATGTGGCAAAGTGCCTGGTGCTGATTCTATTCCAGCTGAGATTTACATGGTGTGTGTGGATTGCTCATACAAAAGCTGAAATTTTCCAGGTTACATGGCAAGAGGAAGTTATCCCCCAAGAGTTCAAGGATGCTTCCACTGTCCATCTCTATAAAGGTAAAGTAGATTGTCCTGTGACAATCACAAGGGTCTCTCTCTTAGTCATTGCTGGCAAGATTCTTGCCCGAGTCCTCCTTAATAGGCTGATCCTTCACCTGGAAGATGGTCATCTACCAGAGAGACTTCAGAAAGGGCCAAGGAATGGTCGCTATGGTGTTTGCTTCTGGACAACTCCAGGAGAAATGCCAGGAGCAAACAGAGGTCTGTACACAAGATTCGTCGGTCATGAGAGCTTGTGGCAGATCATGGCAAAATGTGGTTGCCTGGAGAAGTTCATCAGTATTGTATGCCAATTCCACAATGGCATGCTTGCCCAGGTTCTGGATAATGGACGATGCTCTTGAACTTTCCCAGTCACCAATGGAGGAAACAAGGCTTGCGATGTTGTGGGACACCTTCAAGGAGGACAAAAATGGCACCAAGGTCAGCCGTCACACTGATGGTAAATTATTTAACTTGAAAAGGCTACAAGCCAAGACTAAAGTGGAGGGAGAGTTGGTGTGTGACTTTTTGTTTGCAGATACTGTGCATTCAATGCAGCCTCTGAGGCTAAGAGATAACAGTGTAGGGATTGATTCTCTGCTGCTTGTGCTAATTTTGGCCTAACAACACAAGAAAACACAGGAACCATCGATTACAGCAAATGGAGAAATATTGAATGAATACTGTGGATAAGTTCATTTATCTTGGCAGTATACTTCACAGGGAGGTACCCACAGATGATGAGGTTGATGCACACCTCATCAAAGGTCCAAGCTAGCTCAGTGTTTGGGAGGCTCTGAAGGAAAGTGTGGGAGAGAAGAGGTATTAGGCTGCCTACCAAACTGAAGGTCTCCAGAGCCTTTGTGCTGACCTCATTGTTGTATGCCTGTGAAACTGGACAGTCTACCAGCACCATGTCAGGAAACTGAATCTCTTCCATTTGAATTGTCTAAGGAAGATTCTGAAGATCACCTGGCAAGATAAGGTACTGGACACTCAGGTCCTTTCTCATGCTAAACTGCCAAGCATTCAAACTCTATTGTAGAGAGCACAACTCTGATGGGCTGGCCACATTGTTCAACTGCCAAATGTATGTTTGCCTAAGACTATTTTATGTTTTTTTTGCTTTTGTTTTTGTTTTTGGTTTTGGTTAGGCAATGGGGTTAAGTGACTTGCCCAGGGTCACACAGCTAGTAAATGTTATGTGTCTGAATCCGAATATGAACTCGGGTCCTCCTGAATCCAGGGCCGGTACTCCTTCCACTGCGCCACCTAGCTGCCTCCTAAGACTATTTTATGGAGAACTCACACAAGGTAAGCACTCACATGGTGATCAAAAGAAGTGATACAAGGACTCTCTCAAGGTCTCTCAGAAGAACTTTGGAATTGATTGTGTGACATGTGAAACATTGGTAAAGGACAGCCCATATCAAAGAAGGTGCTGTGCTCTATGAGCAAAGCACAATTACATTAGCTCAACAGAAATTTGAACCCAGGAACTATATGAACACAATTACAAAACACTTTTCACACAAAAAAGTCAGGTGGAAATAATTGGGAAAATATCAGTTGCTCATGGGGAGTCTGAGCTAATATAATAAAAATGACAATTCTACCTAGGCTAATTTACTTATTCGGTACCATAACAATAAAACAACCAAAAACTTATTTTATAGAGCTAGAAAAAATAATAACAAGATTCATTTGGAAGAACAAAGGGTCCAGAATATCAAGGGAACTAATGAAAAGAAATGCAGGGGAAGGTGGCCTAGCCATTCCAGATCTTAAATTGTATTATAAAGCAGCAATTATCAAAACTAGTTGGTACTGGCTAAGAAATATAGTGGTGGATCAGTGGAATTAGGTTAGGTATGCAAGACACAGTAGTCAATGATTATACTAATCTACTATTTGACAAGACCCCAGTTTCTGGGATAAGAACTCACTATTTGACAAAAACTGCTGGGAAAACTGGAAGAGTATGGCAGAACTAGGCATAGACCAAAATCTTACACCACATACCAAAACAAAAAATTAGTACATGATTTAGATATAAATAAGCAAACTGGCAGAGCAAGGAATAGTTTACCTGTTAGATTTATGGAGAACAGAAGAATTTATGACCAAACGAGATAGAGAACACTATGAAATGCAAAACGGATAATTTTGATTACATTAAATTAAAAAGTTTTTGCACATACAAAGCCAATGCAACCAAGGTTAGGAGGGAAGCAGAAAACTGGGAAAGAATTTTTACAACCAGTGTCTCTGATAAGGACCTCATTTCTAAAATAGAGTGAACTGAGTCAAATTTATAAGAATACAACTCATTCCCCAATCGATAAATAGTCAAAGTATATGAACAGGCAGTTTTCAAAAGAAGAAACTAAAGCTATAGCCATATGAAAAAATGCTCTAAATCACTATTGATTAGAGAAATGCAAATCAAAGCAATTCTGAAGTACTACATCACATCTATCAAATTGGCTAACATGACAAAACAGGAAAATGATAAATGTTGCAGAAGATGTGGGAAAATTGGAACACTAATGCTTGTTGGTGGAGTTGTGAACTGATCCAACCATTCTGGAGAGCAATTTGGAACTATGCCCAAAGGGCTATAAAAATGTGCATACCCTTTGACCCAGCAATGGCACTTCTAGGGCTGTATCCCAAAGAGATCATACAAACGGGGAAAGGACCCACGTGTACAAAAATATTTATAACAGCTCTTTCTGTGGTGGCAAAGAATTGGAAATTGAGGGGATGCCCATCCATTGGGGAATGGCTGAACAAGTTGTGGCATATGAATGTAATGGAATACTACTGTGTTATAAGAAATGATAAGCAAGCAGACTTCAGAAAAACCTGGAAAGGCTTGTATGAATTGATGCTGAGGAAAGTGAGCAGAACCAGGAGAACGTTGTACACAGTAACAGCCACATTATGGGAAGACTGACTTTGATAGACTTAGCTCTTCTCAGCAATGCAAGAATCTAAGACATCTCCAAAGGCCTCATGACAGAAAATGCTATCCACATCCAGAGAAAGAACTATGGAGTGTGAATGCAGATTGAAGCATACTATTTGCTATTTTTTTCTTCTGTTTTGCTTCCTCTTTCTTGTGGTTCCTCCTATTGGTTCTAATTCTTCTTTACAACATAACTAATGTAAAATTTTTTTTTAAAAAATTGAGATGCACAAATTTAGAGACCTCTCCACCCTGAATGTTCAAGGACTATTTGTACCTCACCTGTGGCAGTGCCTTCTGAGCTCATGTGGATCTGCTCAGCCACAGCTGGACACACTAGACCTTGACCCTGCCAGAGTGGTCATTCTGGTCCTCTGCGAGCACGGAGGATGACGACCACCCAGCCCCACATCTCCTCACCCCCACCTCTAGGCTCCCTGGTTCCCCCAGCCACCCCCTCCACACCAGGCACTTCCTGGTCCCTCTGCCTCTAACGCCTTCTCTCCTAGGTTACTGTAGTCTCTTGTCTATACCTTGTATCTACCCCATTATTTCCATGTTGTTTCCCCCATTAGACTGGGAGATCCCTGAGGGCAGGGATTCTTTTTGCCTTTCGATATATACCCAACCTTCAAAGACAACCCTAGGAAAAGCCTAATAAATGCTTGTTGTCTGACTTACAGATGCAATTGTTAAGATATAGATATAAAAACTGGCATATAAAGTTCAAATGAGATAATGTGCAGGAGTTACTTCGCTGAAGGCCCATCTATATAGTGTTTGGCGCTCTGCTAGAGATTATTTTTTATATTCTCTCCCTACATGACATTTGGGAATAACGTCCTTTTTTTTTTTTTTTTTTTTTTTGGTGAGGCAATTGGGGTTAAGTGACTTGCCCAGAGTCACACAGGTAGTAAATGTTATGTGTCTGAGGCCGGATTTGAACTTAGGTCCTCCTGACTCCAGGGCTGGTGCTCCATCCACTGTGCCACCTAGGCGCCCCCAAGTAACATGCTTTGTAAACAGAGAATCAATCAATATAGGAGGGCTTAGTAAGCCCCATCACGGGCTCAATTCCTTCTATATCTTGGAAATGAGACTTATCAGAGAATCTTGCTGCAGAGATTTTTTTCCCAGTTAACAGTTTCCTTCCTAATTTAAGCTGCATTGCTTTTGTTTGTGCAAAACCTTTTCAATTTTACATAATCAAAATTGTCCATTTTATCTTCCGTGACCCTCTTTACCTTTTGTTTGGTCATGAAATCTTCAGAGAGGGTGAGGTTCCAGAATAACCATAAAGCACAAACAATAGGCATCAGCAAGACTTAAAAAAAAATTCCTTGAGCATTTTGGTTTTGCAGACAGTATGTGCTTATTATCACCAACTCCTATTTTGCCAATCCTTTAGAGTTTGCAAAGCAGTTTAAAAATAGTTACTTTTTTATATAGTGCCTCCAGGCTTGGAAAGTGCTTTCTATAAGCTATCTCACTGTCCTCAAAACAGCCCTGGGAAGCAGGTGCTGGGACCCCAAGCCCTTCCCCTTTGCCCCTCTGACCTTCCTTATTATTGTGCGGGCACCACCATGGACAGGTCACTCAGTCATGACCCTTCACCTGCATCACCCCTACCCAAGGCTGTCAGGTCCTGTCTTTTGTACCTTCACTCATATGCCCCCTTCCCTCTTTTGCAGCTGCCCCTGCCCCAGGACTGACCCTCTGCATCTACCACCTGGACTATTGCAATAACCTGGTGGGGGAAAGGGAGCTGCCTGCCCGGAGTCCCTCCCTGCTCTCATCCATCCTCCACTCAGCTGCCAAAGTGATCTTCCTAAATCGCAGGTCTGACCACGTCACCCCCCTACTCAGCAAACTGCAGCAGCTCCCTATTATCTCCATGGTCAACTATAAAATGCAGTTTGGTTTTTAAAGTCTTCCATAATCTAGCCCCTCCTACCCGGGGCTGAATGAGCTTAAGTGACTTGCCTTGGGTCACAGTTAGTGTCTGAGGCAGGATTTGCACTCGGGTCTTCCTGATTCCGAGTCTCTACCATCTAGCTGTCACTCAAATCACTTTCTTCTCAACAGACCTTTGAGGGGGAAGATTCATTGTTGTTCCTTTTTACTAAAGGAGGAAACTGAATTACAGCGATGATGGGTGATGAGTGGAGCCTCCCTGCCAGGTGAGAGATAGGGCTGGGACCCAGGTCTTTCAGATTCGCTTTTGAGTTCTACCTAAAATCCTAAGATTCAGAGGCCGGGTGGACCTTAGAGGTCATGCCACCCAAACTCCTGCCTTCATGTAACAGATGAGGAAACTGAGGCTAGCCAGAGCCCACCAAATGAGTGCCCCCTGCTGCACGTGCATCCCCTCCCCTGTGGGAGGGGCGGCTTTGCTTTTGCCTTGGTGTCTCTGCCCAGTGCCTGGCGCCTGGTCAGCAGGACCGGACCTGCGACTTCACCTCTGACAACACAGGCTGACGCCTCCTCTTCCCTCTCCAAAGTCAGAAGCCGCCAGGGGGCGCCGCGGTGCGCAAAGGCTGAGCCTGGACTCAGGAAGACTTTGAGTTCAAATCCTGCTTCGGACGCTGCCTAGCTGGGTGACCCTGGGCGAGTCCCTTACCCGCTTCCTGCCTCCGTTTCCTCATCTGTAAAGTGGGGGGGGGTCACAACAGCCCCTCCCTCCCAGGAATGTTGTGAGGATCATATGAGGTAGTATCTGGACAGTGCCTGGTACACAGCAGGCGCTTAATCAATGCTGGTCAGGTCTGAGAACTTGATGCATCATTGTACGTCAGAACCTCTGGCATCTTCTTCCGTTTGTTGATTTTATGCACTTGAGGACACGGTTCTGAGACGGGCGTGAGGATGGGGGGAGGCCATGAGACGCCAGTCTCAGAGTTTTGGCTCGGAGGCGCGAAAGGTCCGACGCAGAACCTGAACTCAGTACCGCCCCGCCCCCACAACCCGCCCCCTGCGTAAACGGCGACAAATGTTGGTTAGTCCCATTTCCCAGGGAGGGCAAGTCAGGTTCCCGCCTAGGACACACAGCTAACTCCTTTCGTAATCCGAGGACCCGACCGGGCTCAGCGACCACATCTCCAGGCCCAGCCCACTCCGTGGACCCAGGGCGCCATTTTCAGAGTCCTGCCCCAGCCCTCATTATGAACCCAGTAGCCGTGCTCGGGGCGGGCGCCACGCTGCATCCCACAATCCTCCGCGTACAACCCGCCCTCCGCTGTTTCCGCCCCCTTGCATCCCAGCATGCACTGCGCCACTCACTCCCGCCGTTTCCGGCCCGGTACCTCTCACTGTCAGAGCTATTCCGCCCCCGTACATCCCAGCAAGCCCCGCGCCGCCCCCGCCCCGCCTTTTCCGGCTCCTTGTAGGCTCCACTCCACCTACCGCCGCCATTTCCGTCCCCTTGCGTCCCAGCATGCGTCACGCCGCCCGCCCCCACTGTTTCC